CAACAACTCCTAGGGTTTCACAGTCATGTAGTTCAGCTGATGTCTTAGATTATTGTTTTCTAAAACATTTCTCTAAGCAGTGCAGAGATCAGGGTGCTGGAGGTTGGTATCTCTGCATCTCCACTGGTGCTGTAGCTGCAGGTTCCTGAGGAAAGTGCCTGCAGTGGTGGAGGCTTTGTCCAGAGGATGGGGACCTTGAGTGAGAGACGCAGAGGGTCTCCTCCCAGCACGCACTCACCCTCTGCCCAGTGCCAGGAGCCCACAGAGCTGTCCCTGGTCTCTTTCAGCACCTTCTCCTGCTGCCTCTTTAGTTATAGACTTTGGTATTATTCAGGGCAGACACGGGTTCCTGCTGTCCAGAGATCTGAACAGATAATGATGCTATAATGTTCAGTCACCAGAAGTGTGAAGTGTGGGCCTGCTGCCTTCCCCTTGGCAGGAAATCCTCTTAGGACTTCATATTTAATTATCCTCCTGGTGCCATCAACATGCACAGCAGATCACCCCAGGCTGGGCCGCCAGCCAGCTGCTGCAGGACTCATGAGCTTCGCAGAGAGGCAGCAGGCTCCCGTGTTCTCGAGGTTTGTTAGCAGAATTAAACATCCAGACACCCTAATTTTTCAAAAGTAGGAGAATGTCGTTCCCATCCTGAAAATTTCCCAGCACTGGACTGAGCACCAGGCTGAGCTGGGGAAGACTGGAGGGTGGTGCCCACAGTCGGGGAAAGAGACTGTTGTGCAAACCCTTTGGTGTAGTCATCTGGGCTGTTCACCCTTCGTAATTTTCTAGTTAACTGGTGCATAAAAAATATGGGCTGAAGTACTGATGAGTCCATTGAAAACTTGTATACCTTGGCACCCCACTGTGGATCCCAGTCTTCTGTGAAAGGGAATGTATGCCTTAGTCTTGCCTTTGGGGTTCCCCTGGGTCTGAGAGTGGAGAGGAAGACAGCCCTCCACCCCAGGTGGAGCCATGTGGCTCACTGGTTTGCGTGGGCCCAGGCTCGGAAGCCTCTGGTCAGACAGCTGCTTTATTTGTTTGACAAAACATTGACAAAGTGCGCGCCTCAGCCAGTCAGAGCTTGAGGAGAGTACAAAAAGTTCAGTATGCACAGTGGAGTTTAGTTCCTTAGAAATAATTTGCTGTTGCTTAAAACTCATGGGCATGATGACTTATGCAAAAAAGATAGAAAAATGTTTGATGTTAAGATTGTGTGGGCACACACACGATATACCTGACAGTGACTATGAAGTCACTTAGTCCTGGAAGAGAAGAGACTTCTGAAAGTCCCCCAGTTCTGCCAGGTGTGATGGCTCACCCCTCTAATCCCAGTTCTCAGGAAGCTAAGGCAGTGTTTCTGGGCTACATAGTGAGTCCCTGTCTCAAATTAAAAAGAAAATAACCCTTCACTTTGTTAGCTGTGTTTTATAGGAAAGGAAATAGATGTCTAGAATTCCTTAGATTTTTGTTTAAGTGTCTCCTCATCTAAAATGACATAATCTATTTTATTACTGTCCCAGTTTTCTACAAATTACTTCCCACTATCTGTTAATTTTCTTTTACCAATTCTCCTGTCCATTATATGTTATCTTTTTTCTTCCATGGTAATATAAATTCCTTGAAAATAGGGATCTCAGAGACAGTCTTTAAGAAATTGGTGAATAAATGAATAATAAATCTTTGAAACCTCGCCAAGGTCACCCTTGCATGGCATGGCCAAGACCCCTGAGCTGTGCACACGTCCCTGCACTGATGAGGCAGGCTGACTGCCATAGCATGTGTGCAGGTGGGTGGTGCTGGAGACCTCTGTGGAGGGCCTGGGCCTTTCCATGTGTAGAGCTGTGTTTGTCTGCTGGGCTTTGCTGGCAGTGACTTGTGGCCAACTGGTCAGCTCCTGAGGAGGTGAGGCCCAAGCCATGTTTCCAGACTTGAGTGTGAAACTTGGTCCCTCTCTTCCCTGAGCCTCTGTACTTGCTGGGCCTGCAAGCTCCAGAAGGCACCGACTGACTGGAGTTCTTTGCTTTCAGCTCTACCCTCAGCCCTACATGGGCTGCAGGGGAGCCTGGACATGTGTGTGTGCCCACACTCATTCCTGCACATCCTCCTCTCGTGTCAGTGCAGTCATTGCCTGTCACTGACAACCTTGGGGTGTCATAGAACTGGAGCACCAGCCTGGTGCTGTCCAGGCCCAGGGCCTCTGCTCCTGGCCCTGGGCTGCATTTCCTTCAGGTTTCCAGGGAAACAGACTCAGCACTGGCACTTGGATGGTGCTGGACCCATGCAGTGCATTCCGAATCCCCTTCTCCTCCAAGGGCTTTGCAGGACCAAGCATGAGTGGGTGTGAGAAGACAGAGTTGGAGTGGTGTCTTCTGCCTCCCACATTGGTCATGGTCTCAGTACAGAGCTGGCCGTGTCACTGCTGCTCAGCTTGTGTTACCTGATGAGCTGTTGTCAGGCAGAGGTGGGAATATTTCCCAGAGACTTTAGCTATAGGCCCCATGTGTGAGGCAGCTGAGGCTGCCGTCATCGAGGGAGTGAGCACATGGCTGCACAGTGCTGGGCTCAGACCCCAGCATCACCTCTCAGCTGGGAATGCTGGTGGATCCTAGCAGCCTCCGTGCCATGTGGACTGAGGAAACAGGTGCGGTTATGCTGATGGTAGGTGTGACAACACGGCTAAAGCACTGGCACCAGTCCATTTGGGCCCTCCTGCTGGTGGCTGCCACACTGGGGTGCAGAGCCTTCACTCATGACATTTATGCCTGAAGGGTTAGGTGCCAAAATATCCTACCTGATTGTCATTCTGTGCCATTGCCACTTTTGAACCCTACTATAGGGGCACTGGTCCATTTTCTCTGTGTAAATGAGGTCACTAGTGAGGTGCAACAGCACGGTAGGCCCTCCTCCTCATTGTCGTCCTCCTCCTTCTCTTCACTCTGGAGTAAGCAGAGCTGTGGCTCCTTGGGGTCAGGTAGACAGCAGTCACCTTGAGACCACAGTGACCAGTGACTCCACAGCGTGTTTGTGTAGTGGCTTCCCAGGACCAGCACCAGGATGGCTGTAGATTAGATGTTTGGAGGCAGGCACTGGTGCAGAGTGTTTAGCATATCATACCGTGCCCTTGACCCTGCCACGGTGGCATCCAAGTGTTTGTATCCATTGGATTAGCACAGGTTCTGCCTTGGGGTGAATGTCTATGTACCAGATACTGAGACTGTCAGAGGTTGCAGTGAGGAAAAGCATCCTGGTTCACCTTTACATGAAGCACTGCTTTCTAATGTAAAATGTAGAGGAGTGCCAGAGACGCAATTCATGTTAGGATCACAGTGCAGAGGAAAATCATTTGCTGCACAGAAGAAAATGAGTATTCTGTACTTGGCTCTCTAGAAATGGAAATGTGAGGGAAGATACTTTGATTTATAGCAAAAACATCTAACACATGCACTTTAGTAAAATCTCCGATTTCCAATTAGGAAAAGTTTCTAGGCAACATGTAGACTAGTGTCTTAGTTACTTTTTCCTTATTGCTGGGACAGAATACCCAACATCCAAAAATAAGGAAGGAAAGGCTTATTTTATTTAGCTTATAGTTAGTGGAGGTTTCAGTCCATACTCAGCTGGCTCCAAGGCAGAGCTGCACATGGCAGAGGGCAGCCATTGATGGCGGCAGCAAAGAGCAAAGGGAGGAACAGAGGCTGAAGCAGCTAGCAAGCCTCTCTCCCCTCACATTTGTATGCAGATTATTCCCCCCCCCCCCCGCTGGTGTAGTACTCCCACCCATAATCCCAGTATTAGATCACAAATTAACCGCAAAATCTGGAAGCCTCCGTGAGTGTGTGAGACTTTGAGAGGAACAACTAGACACTGGCCTTGGTCGCTAGCTAGCAATTTTCTAATGAAAATTAGAAACTAATTTTAGATTCCAACTTTTAAAAGTTCACTTGGTGTGGAGTATGGTAAAATGTTCCAATATCAAATAAAATAATTCCATATTTTAACATGATGTGTTGAATACTGTTAAGCCAATTATGTGGAAGTTGGATTTTTTAATTTGACTTTATTTTGGTAAAGTTAAAAGCCTTTCTGTAGTTTGGTAATTATTTTTAATATACTTGTTTGACATTGAGTTAGATCTAGATTTTTAAGATTTTTAGAAGTACTTACTCATCTATGGTGCACACACATCACGCAGCCTGATGCCTTTTCCATCTCTTGTGCCCATCCCTGCTCCATCTCTTTGCCCCTTCCCAGTTGAGAAAGATCCATTTCCCTGTTGTCTTTTATTTTGCCTTTTACATATACTTAGCATTTCTCATGTAACCAACTATGTGATACTTCGTCTTGTTTCTCTTACTTAGTTAAGCACTTGAGGTGCATCCCTTTTCTTACAGATGACCCCAGTTTATCCTTCTTCATGGCAGAGTAGTGCTCCATGGTGTGTAAACACCACATTTTCTTTACCCGTGGGCCTGTTGATGGGCATTCAGGCTATCTCGTGCTGCTGTAAACATAGACCTGGATCTTTTGAAGGTGTGTGTGGCTACAATAGCGAGATACCTCAGGCAAGCTCACCGTATAACAAGAGGTGTGGCGAGCTGGCTGTGGAGGCTCAGGTGCAGTGCTGGCACTGGTCCATCTCTGATGAGGCCCTCTTGGCTGTGTCCACCCTGGCGGGGGTATGGGCATCAGGAAGAGGCCAATGGGGAGACTGAGGTCACGCCGTCCATTCCAGGGTGCCTGCGAGTGCGGAGCCCCAGACACTGCCCCCAGTGCTCCTCCCTTGTCTGCATGCCATGCAAGGGCTGCACGCCCAGACTCGAACCTATGTGTAACAAACAACATCCGCACTAGAGCAGTTGTTTTTTACTTTGTTTATGTTGCTAAATTTCCCCACAGCACATCATAAACATTTTCAGAATGATGTCTAATCCGAGTGATCGTGTGTGGGTTCTCCTGGACCCACTCAGGCCTCTTCATCTTGGTGTGCCTTCCTCTCACAGGTGGCTGCTGCTGACGTCCAGAGTGGGGAGCAACGCTCTGCCCTGTTCACAGAACTCCTGGAGCACAGCCGCTCGGAGGCCGAGTTTCAGCATCTGGCCCTGCTCTTGCAGGCCTGGCCCCCTCTGCAGTGCGAGCACTCGTGAGCATCAAAGGAGAACAAGCCAAGGGCCTTGGTGGGGGCCTTGCTTCTGAGAACATAGTGTCTTCAGGAAGCCTTGGCCGGGCTTCACTGTGGGGACAGGGCTGAGAGCTCAGGAGCACAGAGCCCTGGGTTCCTCCTGCCAGTAGCACCAGCTGAACACTCGGGGCTGCACTGGGGGTGCAACAGCAGGTGCTGTGTGAGCCTGGGCCCCATCCTCAGCAGAGACAAAACGGGAATAAACAGACAATGGGGGGGCTGAAGGCTGTCAGCTCAGCCTTCAGGAGACTAAGGCAGGAAGATCGCACATACAAGGCCAGCCTAAGCCATATGGTGAGTTCAAGGCCAGCCTGTACTACACAGCAAGATCCTGCCTCAAAAGAATAAAAAAAAAAAATAAACATGAGAAAGAAGCCTCCTTGGCCTGGCAGAAGGGGTCTGGTGGTACGTGCCTGTGGGCCTGCTCCTGGTGAGGCCAAGGCTTGAGGGTCACTTAGGGCCAGCCTGGGCAACATGTAAGACTTTTTCTTCAAAAGACAAAAGTGGAATGAACTAGCATTGATTTCTTTTCTTCCTCAAAATTTCAGAAAGAGGTTTCTTTCTCCCTGCAGACCTTGGCCAGCTTCGCTTGTGGTTTCCTTTTTTCTTAAGCTGAACCCTTGCCACATGTTTAGCCTCTAAATTGCCCAGGCTGGGCTCCAACTTGCAGTCCTGCTTCCACAGCCTTCCAGAGTGCTGGGATTCCAGGCAGGCACCACCACGCCCAGCTCAGAGCCAAGATTTGTGTAATAAATAGCAAGATGTATCTGGTGTTAAACCTGCTTGGTGGAGTCCCCAGAATCAGAGGCTAAGTCACCCGGGCTACCCAGCATGGGGCTGCTTCCTGACACCAGCATGCTGCTGTTGACCCCTGCACTGTGGTTCGGCCCAGAGAGAGCACCCACTCAGCCTCGAGGAATGCTTAATTCCACAGCCTTGTTTGTACACAGGGTGGACCTTTTTCTGCTGTAAAGCCTCTTAGAAGGGGTGAGAATGCTAACCCTGTGCCTTCCCATCAGGGCTGGTGTGACCAGGAGCCCGTGGCTGAGACTGGCGACTGCAATGCTGACCTGGTGCTCACCTCAGGGCAAGGAGGCTGTGGGGAATGAGGTCCTGAGGATGTGCCGCTCGCTGGTCCACACTGAGCAGGCGCTGCCCACTGAGGTAAGTGGGCCGGGCCTGGCAGAGCTGGCCAGGCAGCAGTCTGCCACACAGGGCTGTGTGATGGCACCCAGGTCAAGCCAAGGCCAGTGAAGGCCTGCCAGGTATCAGGCAGCAAAGGAGAGCCATGCGAGGCCCTGTGGGCTGCTCCCAGCAGAGCTCTGCAGCAGGGGAGTTTGCGTCCTGGGCCCACCCAGCTCTGCCTGTCCTTTAAACCTCTGTGGGACACAGAACCCTTCCCTGACACCTCTCAAGGGACCCAAGGTCACCCAGTGCGATGCTGAGTTTAAAGATCACACATTGCAGAAAAATACACATTACAAACCACAGGTAGTGGAAGTAAGTGAGCAGACACGAGGGCTCTGAGAGGGAGCTGTGTGCAAGTAGTTTAGGTTCTCTTTGTTCCGAGCAGCAGCAGCAGCATCTTTACCTCAAAAGCGGTTCTGTGTGGGGTGCCCTGTGCCTCTTTTATGCCTTGTCTTAAAGGATAGGTAGTGACGAATCCACTTCAGAGAAAGGGAGAGTGCCCATACAGGCGGTGCTGTGAAGCTAAAATTAAACATACAGTTGGGGCTGGGTATTCAAGGTCTTGAGTACACACGACACCAAACTCCAGCCCTGGGACTGAAAATTAAAAAAAAAAAAAAAAAAAAAACCAGTAATAAAGACAGCAGGTGCACAGGTGCCTGGCAGGTTGTGGCTGAGCCTGCAGTGGTGGACGGAGCTGGTGCAGGTGCTTCTGTGGGCACACAGGTCTCTGCACTTCCACTCTGGGCCCCCAGAAGAGTCTGCTAGCAGTGCCTGTGATCTTGGAGGCTGAGGCAGGTGGGTTGCAAGTTTCAGGCCAGCTTGGGCAACTGAGTGCCTTCGGGAGATCTTGTCTCAAGAAGTAAAAAGAGCTGGGGTGCAACAAGCCCTGGGTTTAATCTCCAGTACCAGAAAATAAAAGAGAAAGCTAGAGGAGGAGGAGGAGGAAGAAGAAGAGGAGGAGGAGGGAGGAGGTGGTCGTGGTCACAAGAAGGAAGTCAGATGTTGCAGCCAGTCCAGAGAGCCATGCTTGTAAGCTCATTTTATCCTCCCAAGTGCTCGAGGCAGGTTTTGTGTCCCCTGTGAAGAGCAAGCCTGTCTCCCAGTCCCTGTGGGGGAGTAGCACTCTATGCATGGATGTACCTGGTGCTGATCTCACTGCTCCAATCCCTGAAAGGGCTGCGCCAGGGCAGCCGAGCTGGGGGAAGTGAGGATGGCAACGTGGGGGACTGCAGTGAGCACATCATCCCGAGCCCTTGGTGGGCCGCTGCTCGGGTCATTTTATCTTTGCTTTATAGTAACGTGAAGGGATTATTGGAGATAGTGTGCATTTGAATTGTTCATTCTCCTGCTGCGGGTGGAGTAGCACAGGAGCAAGCCATGCCCCGTGACAGCTGAGAGCCACTATCCAGCCTCGCCAGGCCCGTCGTGTGTCCTGGGTCCTGGTGCTATCTGTGTTCCCACCAAGGCTGGGTGCCCCAGATGGTCAGTCCAGCTATGCAAAATAAGCCTCAATCTTTTATATTTTGATGTTTATAATGTGCACCGTGTTTTTGTTACTTTTGCTGCAGAGAACTATCATTTGTTACCTTTTTAAAAAGCCTGTTGTCCAACAACAGATTCTGTCTCAGTAATATAAAGCAGTGAATAAAGTTGAGGTGGCCCTGTGGAGAACCATGGATTTTTACTGCTCCATGCCACCAGTGGGATGTCTCGGGCACACGCCCTGACACCAGAAGTGTGAACATCTTGGAGATATGTTGTCTGGTGCGTTCCTCCGTTTCCATGCGTGACTGCTCCCAGCTGCCAGCCACAGTCACTCACAGTGCTAAGAGCTTTGCTTACTTGTCCTCTGGCCTGCTGGGGTTGTGTCTGTTAACAGCGATTCTCACACACACCTGTGCAGGCACAACAGAAAGCAGTGTAGGGCTTTGGCCACTTTTCGGAGACCAGCGCTCGGGCATCTAGGCAAGTGAATTCTAAGCCATACACTCTTCATGGCCTGAAGTGAGTGTGGTGTGGTTGTGAGTATGTGTTACACAGAGCACAGCCAGGGCGTGCCAGCGTGGAGGTGCTGCCTGCTGACCCTGCTGTGTCTTTCAGGGCATGAAGGAGCTGTGCCTGCTGCTGCGTGACCAGGGACTGCTGTTGCCCTCCCTAAAGCTGTTGCTGGAGCACCCGGAGCCTGAACTGCATTCCCTGGCACTGGAGCAGGTCACCGCTGTCACGCAGGTAGGGAGGGGTGGACACGCTTGCTGGGGGCTGTCTTCTTTCCAGGGCGTGGCTGGGCTCTGACCTTCTCAGGACAACAGCTTTGCCCACAGTGGTGGTGCACGCCTGTCATCCAGCACTCGGAAGGGAGGCTGAGGCAGGAGGATCGCTGTGAGTTCAAGGCCAGTCTGATGCACTGTAGGAGGCCCTTCTAGACCTCATCATGGTCCAGAAAAACCCTCATTTGTAATCTCATGGAAACATTGGACTTTTATTAATTCCAGTCTACTACTTTTGGTAAAATGCATGGCAAAAATGAAGACATTAAGGCATAGTTATAGTTATGGGGTGCAGGGGGGCAGCTAGAATGTGAGCTCCTGAAACAGAGGCCTTGGCCCAGGCCCAAACCCAAGTTTCACTAATTCGTGACCAGGGGAACAGCTTGAGCGGTGGGAAGTGCACAAGTGCTGAGGCCTGGGCTCGGTAGTGACCTTGTTTGGTTTGGGTCTTTTTTATTTTACTGTATTTTTTTGGTTATATTGTTTTTTAGGGGAGGATTATTTTTTGTTTTTGGTGCCGAGGACTGAACCCAGGGCTTCCAGCTTGCTAAGCAAGCATGCTACTGCTGAGCCAAATCCTCAGCCCCACTGGGCTCGGTAGGAGGCCTGAAATCACCTCTGCACTATGCAGGGAGAGATGCAGGAGTAATCTGCACGACACAACTCAGGGTAGTGTCTAATGTCTTGGGTTGGTGCGTCAGCCCTGAGGTGTGAATCTTCTATGCCCTGAGAAGTTGTAGCCTCTTACCTCCAGGTACAGTGTGGCTGCCCAGCCTAGCTCACACATGCTTCTTGGGAGCTACAGGTGGGACAACACTGCCCTGTTCCTTCAGAGACTACCCCTAGGCACCTTGGCTAGACCTTTTGCATTGCTTAAAGTCAACCAAGGAGATAAAGGCAATGTCAGTGCATGGAAATAGGACCAGGTTTGCACAAAGTGGAGATGATGGCTCTTTTTCAGGGAGAGCCATGAAGGTGAGAGTCGTCACTCTACATAGCGAGACCCTCTGAAAAAACAGGCACAGTAACTGTCAATACCTGAGCACAGTAGCTGCTCATGCAAGCAGTGCATCCTTACTTACTTTGCAGCCTCACCGGGAACTAGCTTTGTTTGGGTGGTGAGAATCTGAATGTGAACTCCGAAGCAGTTTTCTGGAGTTGCTGCTGCAGAGCAGTCTGCTTGCCCTGGGCTGCTTGCGGAGGGCAGGTGCCCGCAGTGCTGATCAGCTGAGTGCAGTCAGGGCCTGGGGACCCTCCAGGTGCAGGAGTGGCCTCTCCCCTCTTCCTTTCAGGGATTGAACTCAGGCCCTTGCGCTTGTCAGGGAAACGCTTATTCCACTGAACCATCTCCCTGGCCCTTTCTTTCCCCTCTTCTGCCTCCCTGTGTAGTAAGTGGGTCTCAGGGGGACCCCTGGGGTGAGGGAAGAGGAAAGAAGCACCCTGCTGCCTGTGTGCCCAGGGGAGAGGCCACCATGCGGGACTGGCCTGGTGCAGGGCTCGAGTCCAGGTTGGTAGCCATCCCAGAGGCAGCCAAGTCCAGGTCCTCAATGCCTCTGTCACTTTGCTGTCAAATTGTAAATTAGGTGACCTAAGTCTGGTCTCTGGACTTGCTGAAAAAAAAATGCAACCTGACCATTGTATCCACAGAAGCCAGTGCATCACCTGCAGGCCTTCTCCTTGTCCTGAGAATGCACTAGCCACTGTGGCTCATATTTTAATAATTCAATTAAGTAATTGTGTCTATAAAGATAAGGCAAATAGCAGTCCTAAGGTAAACCTTGAAATCACACCCAGTGCTTCCTTTCAAGTAATTTCCATGACTGCTTTCCTGGTTACTGTAATTACTCTTAGCTTGGTGCAGATCCATAAAATCAAAGATTTAATTCAGAGAGGGTTCATTACCTATTGTTGAGAAGGGAATTAGGCAGATAACATGTAATGGCTTGGAAGACAGGAGCACTTTGTGTGAATAGATTTTCTCCCCTGGCCTGCGGAGCTGCGTTTATTTCTGGTGTGATGGCCGACACTAGAAGAAACCCTGGCTCCAAGGGTGACAGGTGCTGCACTGCGTGTGAGCCTGAGAGAGCCCTGTGTACCTGCTTGGTGCGGTGCAGCCCTCAAAGCCTTGTCTCCTCCACTCGAAGTCTCCTGTCTCCGGGACAGGACCTAGAGCCGAGCCACTGTCTTAACAAGGTCACCAGCTGTCCTCTGAAGGAGCTGGGCTGGGAAGTCACCTTCCTCCCCAGAGCCTGTCTCCTCATCCCACCTGCAGACTGTGCTCAGTGTGGGGTATGATTGAGGGACTCGACCAGCCAGGCCTCTGGATTTGCTCCCTGCTTGTCACAGACCTGCAAGCCGATGCAGGGCAAATTGCGAGGCAGTTTCTGAGAGTTAAAACCAAGAAACTTCACACAGAAAATTACAGCCAGTACAGATGCAGGGCTCCTGTTCTCAGCCACCACGCAGCTGCCATAATCCTGGTCAGCTCTCCACTCATCCAGGACTTGCACCACACTCAGTTGGTGGGCACAGTGGTGAGCTGGCTGTCTCTGCAAGGTGGTGGTGGCAGTGGTTCCAAGGTTGCTGTGATCAAGGTGGCAGAAGCTGCTGTGAGCTGCCTCACAGCACCAGGTATACACAAGGACCCCTGATACTGAGCGGTGTGGGCTTGGCTCCTTACAGAGCACAGGCAGTGCATGAGCCACACAGGGCTGTGGGACCCACACTAGACAGAGGCAGCCCCGGACTGCACAAGCCCAAGGGCCTCAGACACTGTCAGAGTCGGGCTGGCACCAAGTTCTGGAGGCTTCAGCTGGGACGATTGGTGGCCTCTGCAGTCACCTTGTTTGGTCAGTGGCTGCAGGATACATTCTTTCTTAGCAGAGTAGGAGTTCTCTCATTCAGGGGAGATTTTATTCCCTGTGGATCTGCACTCCAGCAAGAATGAGGTTTAAAGAATCAGAGCCCTGAGGTGCTGGATGTGGTTACCAGCAGCAGGCTTCGGGGTCCAGACTGACCTGACGCAGTTAGCTCCCCGGCTTTCTGCCTGGCGCTGCAGAGCTGGGGGGCACCTGCCTCCTCTCTCAGTGACTCAGGTTCTTGCCAGGCAAGTGTTTATTCCACTGAATAAGCATTTTTTTTATTTTTTTTGGCGGAACCGGGGATTGAACTCAGGCCCTTGCATTTGCCAGGCAAGTGACTCAGGTTCTTATGGGGGAGATGTCTCCTTATACTGCAAAGAAGCCTTTGGTGTGGTGTCCCATGCCCTCTGGGAGGCTGAGGAAGGAGGTTCCTCACGAGGTCTGGCTCTCCTGGTGTGCAGTGGGGCAGCGGCAGGGTGGGATTGCACAGATACTGCTCACAGCTGCCCCTCTGTGTCTTGTAGGTGGATGACTCCAGCTGTGATCCTGAGCTGCTGTCCCTACTTCTGGACACCGGGCTGCTGGTGCCCTGTGTCCCTACCCCCTTCTACCCGTGCCTGGTCCACCACCTGCTGGCAGCACAGGACCACTGGGATGCAGAGCAGCTGGCTGCACAACTGTGGGAGGCTGGCCACGAGGCGGAGGCTGGGTCGCTCCTGCTGGCCACGCGGGGGACACACCAGGCTCTGAGGACTTTCCGTGCCGCCCTGGGTGCTGGGCAGCCATGGGGGTGAGGGAGGAGACTCAGGCTGCTCTGCTGAGGGTCTCTGTTCCCAGCATTGCAAATAAAGCCAAGCACCTGCCAGCGTCCAGCCAGTCTCCTGACCTTGCTCCATGAGCGTTGCACTCCTGGTAACTGAGACATTTGCTTGTTTTCTTTTTGCTTCTGTCCCCTGGCTAGAATACAGATAACAAAGATTTCAAGATGCACTGCAGAAAATGGAATGTGCGGTGGTGGGCTGAGTGCAAGGGAGAGGGTGAGGACTGGCAGCCCTTGTGGGGAGGAGGGAGGCTGCACCTGGGTTCAAGTCTCATGTTAGAGAAGTAGACGTGGTAGTCACACCTGTAATCCCTGCACTCAATGGAGCTGAGGCAGGAGGATTCCAAGTTCTAGCTTAGCCTGGGCAGTTTAGGGAGATACCTTCTAAAAATAAAAAGAGCTGCCGATATAGCTCGTTGCAGGGCAGGATCAAAGGAATACATTGGAACATTACTGGTGTTGCTGGTAAATCGTGCATGTTGTACAACTTTTTTTTTATCATGAGGAGGTTCTTTAAGGGGTGCTTTGGGGAGGTGTGGAACACATGGGTATTTCTGTTATTTCTTATGGGAAGCATAGTCTTGATTTACAACCAACTTGAGTTGCAACGCATCCTCAGGAGCAGATTGCGTTGTTAAGTAAGGGTTCACTGTAGCCAAGATCTTGAAGGCAAAAGAGAAGTTATCTGAATGCTGTGGTGTTAACTTATTAAGTGGGAGTTTTATCATCTGACCTAGAGAAACAATGCTCCCTTTTAGAAAAAAAGAAAGATCTGAGCTGGGTGTTGGTGCACCCGAGTGTTCCCAGCACCCTCGGGAGGCTGAGGCAGAAGGACTGCAGGTTTGAGTCCAGCCTGTGCAATTTAGTGACTTGCTGGGAACTGTTTCAGGAAAGTCAAAAAGGTCTGGGATGTAGCTAGAGCCAAGGCCATGGCTCAGGCCCAGCACTGCGAACACAAGAAGGAAAACCAGAGAGAAGCTCTGCTCAGCCTGGGTGGTCTGACACAGGTGCCAGACATGCTAACCCCCCACCCAACGCCCAGCAGCTCAGTGTGCCCAGTGCACCTGGCCAGCTCCAGCCAGGCAGTGCCTGGGAAGAGATGCATCCTTGGGGACTGTCTGCTAGAGTCAGAGGAGGAACATTTAAGGGCCACTGGCCCAGCCTTCCGAGATACTCTTCACAGCTCTGGCTGATCCCTGGCCTTTACCAAAAGTCATTTCGTGCCACAGCTTGCCCTGGGTGGCTGCTTTGGGTGTCTCCATGTCCCTTCTTTGTGAGCTTTTTATGGCAGTCCTCCTGCCTCAGCCTTCCAGAGTGGTAGGATTAGAGGCACAGGGTCCCTGCACCCGCTCTCTCTCTTTACCAGCCAGCCTGCTCTGTGTGTCTCCATCTGCAGATGAATCTGTCCAGAGGGCACGTGGCCACTGCAGCCCGCAGTATATGGTCATAGCTGGGCCATGTAGCAGGGAGGGGGAGTTGTCCCTGCCATCAGAACTGGGTGAGGGGCAGGGCTGGGGCTCAGAGACCTGTGAGAAAATAGCAACAGGGAGTGAGAACAGCAAAGGCTGGTTGGGGCAGGAGAGGTGAGGGCAGCAGAGATGGTATTCTCAGGTGACCTCCTGCTGTGCTACCTTTCTTGCTGCTGAAAAGGAGCAAAAAGCTTCCTGGAGCCTCTGCACAGTTGCTATGGCAACACAGCCCCACCCTGACTATCAGCCATGTGCCCAGGCTTTATCAGAGGGGCAGCCTGGAGCTGCTCCCCACCCCATGGTCAGCAAGGTCCTCAGGGCCCTCCACTTATGAGATGGCCCCACGGGTCTGGGATGAGGCACAAGGCCTCACAGGCCCCCAGCTTCTGTGGGCCTGGTCTCCACCACCCCAGTCTTGGGACAAGGTTTGTGGTTCATGCTCTTTCTGCAAACATTCAGTCTCAGCCCTGGATGCTCAGAACACATCTTCATCTTAAATGTGAGACAGGCAGTGCATGGGGCACAGCTGTAATCTCAGCCCTCTGAGAGGCTGGAAGATCACAAGTTCCAGCCCATCCTTGGGCAACACAGTAACTTAGGCCTATCTCCCCACAAAAAAAAACAGAACAAAACAACAACAACAACAAAAAAAATTAAAAAATATCTGAGGATGGAACTCAGTGCAAATGCCCTAGGTTCAATCCCCACTATCAAAAACCAAGATAATAGATGGAGGAAGGAGATCACAGGGCCCATTGTAGCCAGGCTGGATGGGGGCAGCCTTTCCAGTGTGACTCCTGAACCCCTCTCTCCCTCCCTCCTGTTGCTCCTTGATCCTCTTGCACCCTGCTGTTCGCCACTGGACTTTGGCTTAGTTGGGGACAAGCAAAGATCAGCTCTCCTCCCCAGGGCAGAAGCACATTTTGCTCAAGTGGAAAAGAGGCCTCTGCCTGCAGTGAGCAGCCCCACCCTGGCCTGCATGGTACTGTAGGACCCACCAGAGGGATTCTGGGCTGAACAACGCAGGGCCAGGCAGTGTGGGCCTGGGCTGGAAGCTGCTCCTGTGCAGTGTGGGGACGAGTGCTGCTCCTGGGTATAGGATGGAGGGTATGGCCACCCGTGCTGCCCAAGCTGTGCATGTGTAGGCCTGGGACTCGTCTCGTTGTGCTCAGCCCAGCAGGTGCACCTTCTCTAAGGGAAGGCACATTAGAGCCGTGCTCCCCACGCTGGGCACAGACTGCAGCAAAGCTCTTGGCCTAGGATCCATGGCATCCTGGGTTTGGGCTTCAGGGTGTAGATGTTTATTGTGAAATTTAGTTCAGGCCCTGGGGACTCAGGCAGAAGTACTATGTGCAGCATCCTATCCTGCACGTAACTTTTCATGAGTGCACATGGCCAGCTCTGCCTGGTGCCATCCAGAACAGGTGGTTTCCTTGGCCAGGGTTACAGTGTAGACCTAGATGTCCCCCAGAGACGCCTGTGTTCAGAGCTGCAGCTTTGGAAGGTAATGGATCATGGGTGCTGTGCTGCTTAGTGGGTCCCTCATGGATGATGTAAGGGCTGCAGGAGGCAGGACCTGGCTGGAGGAGGTCACCGGGGTATGACCTGAAGGGTGCATTCTTGTCCCCTGCTCCCTTCTTTCCCTTCTCTCTCTGCCCCAGTTCGCCATGAAGTGAGCAGCTCTCCCCCACTAGGCCCCTCCACCAAGATGTTTTTGCCTACGAGCCTCCACCATGGACTGAACCAGCTGTAACCATGAGCCAAATTGCATTTTTCATCCTCTGAGTTGTGGGTATTGGGTGCTGTGCCCAGCAATGGGAGAGGGCCGGAGATGTGAACATCAGTGGCACATACTCAAGGACAGCCTACGGTCCCTGCATGCGCACCTGTCACCGAGGGCCATTGAGAGGTTGGGGGGGGGGGTCCCTGTGGGCCCTGGAAGACCTTCTGCCAGAGGATGCAGCAGGAGCCAGCGGCTTGCTCCCTGAGGGCAGAATGTGTCTGGCCCAGCACAGGCCCAGATCTTGTCCCTGCTTTGCAGTTATGCCCCCACTGAGTGAGTGGCTCACAGTGACATGGGGCTCCCTGCTGGGCCTGGCCAGGATGGGTCCAACCTACACCCTCTGCGTGGCCCCAGCTCTGCTGTTGGAGGGCACCCACCCCACTCCATTTCTTAAAATGCACAGTGAATGTTTAGATAAAGAAAATGTAATACAGTGTCTGGGCTGAATGTGCTGCAGGAGGTGGCATGGCCAGGAGTCCCCTCAAAACTCCTCCCCTTTGAACACATCCTGTTGCCCTTGCCAGTTACTACAGCAGCTGTGGAGTCTTTTCCTAAGGGTCTTTCCAGATGGGATAAAAAATACAGTGAATGCTGCTATTCAGAGTCTTCCCATGGAAAGGCAGCTCATAAAACATGATACTGTGCCCTCGTTTGCTTTAGTCACCAGCTGTGGTGCTGTGTGATTCTGGCTCTTCCCTTGGGTCAGAATGGCCATGGGAGAGAGGTGTTTTTTTAATTCATTCAGGAAATGAAGGCAGCCAGGATAGCTAAAGACCCTCCTGAAAGAGGACTCCAGAGCTGCTGCAGGAAGTGGAAAGGACGATGGGATGAGTGTGTTTGAAGCCAGGGGAGGATTCTGAGGGAATTCATGGCCCTGTGTCTTTTACTGTAACAAGTTCATTTTCATTAAACTGCTCACCGCACTTCCTGGTCACAGCTGTGGTGCACCATGCCCTTCGTTGGTTCACTGGAGCACGTGTTACATTTAGCACATGCTAAGCTCTGGTGCCTGAGGTAGGGCTTACATACCTAAGTCCTTTTCCTCCTTAGTACAAGCCGTGAAATGAGGATGGAGGTCACCCACTGCACAAATGGAGAAATGAAGGCAGGGGCAGTTCATAGCTTGCTTGGGAATGCAGTTAGGAGCAGTACCATTGTACAGGACCAGGCTGTTGGCCGTTGGGATCTTCATGGCCACCTTGCCCTGAGCCAGGATGGCCTGGTAGTGTCTCTGCCTTCCTAGCACACAGGACAGTGTTGTGTTCACCAGAGATGCTGCCAGCCCTTGGGAGGCTGAGGTGGGAAGATTGCTGCAAGTTCAAGGCCAGCCTGGGCTACAGAATGAGACCTTGTCTCAAAAATAAATGAGTAAATAAATTGTCAAATAAGGAAATGGAAAAGTGAATAAATGAAAGAATTATCTCATACTCTTGGAGTCTCAAATATAGTATCTACTTCATGCATCCCCCTCCTTTTTTCAAAAGAGTTGGGGATTGAATCCAAGCCCTTCACATGGAGCTGCATCTCAGCTCTTTTTTATTTTTTCTGAAACAAGTTCGTTCTAAATTGCTAAGTTTGGCAGACTCAGCTAGAACTCTGGGGCCCTGGAACCCAGATGGCCAGGCTCTGACACTGGCCCTGGGGCTCCTGAGTGGAGCCTCACTTCTGAGCCTACGGCCCCGCCCACTGAGGAGGGTCTACCGCATACTCACATCTGTGCATTTTTGTTCTAAGGACCTACATGTGGCCCTGGAAACTTCCAAATTGTGTAAAGCTGTATAATGAAAATAACAGGGCT